TCGAAGATCATCAAAAGATGATTAATTTGATATCTTATATATGTAAAACCGATAAGCAATACAAAAGTTATCAACTTTTAAAATACATTTATAATTGAACAACTTATTGAAGGAAACAAATCAAAATTCATGGATATATTAGTCACTTATTGCCTCACTATGTAAAATTACAAAAAAATTAAAGGGTTATATTAGTAAAAGTGATATTAAAATACCTAAGTTAGCTAAATAATATTTATGGAATACCCGAACCTAGATGATTAATTATTAATATATCAATATTATTCATCCAAGCCTAATTACGAAGCATGATTTTTCGCCAAATAGGATTCCGAAGCACCAGAAGCAGCCACGTAGGCTCAGCACATTCTGAAATTATATATAGGGAGAATATATATATATGTATATATATAATATATAATATTAATAATGACGACAACAACGAATAATAATAAAGTATGTATGTGGCTCAATTGAAAGGAATATAAATGAAAATTAAAACCCAACTTCATTTCGGGTACTCTTGAAAGTAATTAGAGATGGTGCTCGTAATTTAAGCTATGAAATTATAAAAGGCAAAATTGTATTTTATGCCCCGTAACTAGAAGTGTGTGGAAAATGTGAACAACTTCTTTTTGGTTTGGCAAAAGTGCCCTGAAACTTGTTAAAACCCGAAATTCGTACCCAATTTGAGCACAAATTTCGAATTTTTACAAGTTACTGTCCTGTTTTGTCACACGAAAAGTCGGTCAAATCCGATAAATTGTAGGTAAATGGGCACGAATTCCGGGTTTTAACAAGTTTTGGGGCACTTTTGCCAAACCATAAAGAAGCTGTCCACATTTGCCACACACGTATAGTTAGAGGGCACAAAATGCAATTTTGCCAATTATAAAAAATTAAAAATCAAGAATGACAAAAAGAGAACGAGGGCCGAAATGAAAAGAATAATATTTTATATTCAATAATCACTTATTATTATTATTATTGTTATTATTAATGAAATTTAATGGAAGGGGAAAAAGTCTTATATGTATTGTTCTTGGCCCAGATGAAATATTTTCAATTGGGTTGGGCCTTATAAAGAGTGGAATTTCGCTTCTCTTTAATTATAAATTCATACACCAAACCAAATAATTTCACACATTTGATCATATGTTTCACAGTCACTGAGACTCGACTTCGTGACCAACTCAAGAGTCCACCATCTAAGGTCCGTCAACAGCAAGAACACACACATCAACCTCTTCGCCTGCACCAACGTCCGCCTCACGCAACTCCGCATCACGGCCCCGGCCGACAGCCCCAACACCGACGGCATCCACATCGGCTCCTCCGAAGCCATACGAATATCCGACTCCATAATCCGAACCGGCGACGACTGCGTGTCCATGGTCTCCGGCAGCCGGGACATCGGCATCTCCCGAGTCGCGTGTGGGCCCGGCCACGGGATAAGCATCGGGAGCCTCGGCAAGGGCCACGATAAGGAGTACGTGGTGGGGGTACATGTGGCAAACTGCTCGTTCACGGGCACTGATAATGGGGTCCGAATAAAGACGTGGGCCCCGTCCCAGTCGAGCCTAGCGTCCAACATCACGTTCGAGGATATATTCATTAGGTACGCACGGAACCCAATCGTCATCGACCAGCAGTATTGCCCGCATTCGAGCTGCATGGAGGTACTACTACGGTTCTTCATCTTTTTCTAATCTAAACTTCGAAAAAAAAAAAGG